ACCCTCGGGGGCTGGGGTGGGTACAGGAGGGAGTTTAGTAGGGGGAGAGGAGGGGAAGGCGCTGCCTGGCCAGAGGCAGGACCCCCGTGAGGCCTTGGTGCCAGTGCTGCTGGTGTTTGCCAGGGATTTGCCTGGCACAGAGGAGCTGCTGCCACGGGCTGCAGCTGGGGATTACCCCGGCGTGGGTTTCTGTGAGCTGGCACAGAGCTGGAGCTGTCGGGCTTCCCTTGGAAAGAGGATTTTCCATCCAGTCACAGCCCTTGGGGAAGGGGTTGGGATGAGACAGCTCCACTCCAGCCCTGTGCCCACAGCAGGGTGGTGCCAGGGGACATCCAGCTGCCCCCGTGGTGGCCTTCCCCTCGCCTAGAGGAGCCTGGGGAAGGGCTGTGGCTAACAAATCAAGATCCCTGAGCCCCACCTACCATAACCCAGATGTGGAAGGAGATGCTGAGCGCCAGGTAGGCCACCGACAGCAGGATGGTGCCTTTGAACTTGTGAAAGAGGAGGTTGATCAGCCCGGCTTGGAAGACGAAGGTGTTGAAGAACATGAGGAAAACGATGATGATATTGAAGAGAATGGCAATGTCTTGGATGCTGCAGGATGGAGAGAGAGAGAAAGGGGTGGTGAGGGGCTGAGCCCTGCCCCACACACTGCCCGTGCCCCCCCCCTTGCCCTGGGGCTCACATGAAGAGGACGAGCTGGACGGCGGCGGCCGCGCGGAGCAGCTCCGAGAAGGAGTTGACAAAGAGGTCGTAGAAAAGCAGGAGGGACTGCAGGAACAGCACCAGGCTGTAGTTGCTGGTCTGGAGCATCTTCCTACCCCAAAGTTTGGAGCTTTCAGGCCCGGCATCCCCGATGGCACCAGCAGCTCATGGTGGTGAGGAGCCCGAGGGGCTCAGCGTCGCCTCTCCCTACGGCCAGGACCTGCAAGGGGGGGGCAGGAGGAGTCATTGGTTGCACCCCACAAAGCTCCTCTGCCAGGGAAAAAACCTCAAAGAGAGGTCAAAGCACCAGCAGCTCCTCCCCTGCTCTACTGAAGAAACTTCTCCCTTCTGGCCACGCAGCAGGCTCAGGATGGGGCTCCCACCCTTGGCCCCCACACTGCAGGAGGCAGAGATGAAGAAACAGGGAGGAGAGAGATGTGCACACCCCAGGGAGCAGCACCCAGGCAGGTTCTTTCCAGCTCTCAAGCTGGACAAACCCCCCCCGAGGTGCCACTGGCTGCTGGGCAAGGCTGAGCTGGCCACGCTCAGCACACCGGGGCAGGTTTGGGCGCGTCGTGTGCCAGCACCACTCTCC